TTGAAAGACAAGGTGAAACAAAGTTATGGGGGAGAAAACATGGATCCGTTAGTAGTGGAGTTGGGGAACGGCCCACAACATGTTGTTGCAACATACCAAGGCTATGACATTAATGGGTATACATTTTATACTAAGAAGCAAGATGATAAAAGTACGTATCAAAATAGCGGAGTGACGCTAATAGCATCATCGATAGAATTTTATAGCATAAATCATGAAACAAGGTCGAGGATCACTAAAAATTCTTATTATGGCGTCATCCAAGAAATGGGTCGACAATCGGAAAGGTGTTAAAATTGACAACGATGGTTTCACACTTGTTGATCTTTCCACAAACGGTTATGCATTTGAACCATTCATTTTAGCAAAACAAGCTACCCAGGTATTCTTCGTGGAGGACCCAAAAGATTCGACATGGCACCTTGTCTTGCATGGTAAACGGCGTATAGTTGGCGTTGAAAATGTAGTGGACGAGGAAGAATACAATCAGTTTGACGAGCTACCCCCATTTTCTATCGGTATCCCATCTACAAATGTCGATATTGATGATACTGCTTATTTAAGATCAGATCACAATGAAGGATTATGGATTGCAAAAAAACGCAAACGGAAAGCAAGAAAGGTGATAAACTATTTATCTATCTTGAAACTAGAAAGATTGATTATAAATTTTTATTACTTTATAATAACTATTATTACAATTTATATTTTTGCAGTAACACCTCCTGACAAAAGACATTAAAGCGAAAAATAATGGACGATGCGTGAAAATGATTCAAATTATTTTGAGAATTTTGGTAAGTTATAAATAATTCTAGTATTTTTGGGTTAAATATTATAAGATTTTCATTACACATTAGTAAAGTTAACAATGTGCTTTATAAATGTTAGATTTATTTATGTGTAAGCATGTAGATATGTATGTATCTATATATTTATAATATTAACTAGGTTATAACCCGTGGAAACCACGGTCGTTATATTTAAAATTTCTATATAGATAAAAAAAAATAATAAATGTAAAAAAAAAACCAATATATTGTCGATTGTAAGTAATTATGAATTAATTTGTTAAGCAAAATAAACATAATAATGTTATTAAGATATGATTTTGTATTTTCAAAATTTGAATTGAATTTGATTTGTTACCAAAAAATAAAATAATAAAAATCATAGAAAAATGTCACGTGTCAAAGTGACATTCTAAAAAACTGACACGTGTTATTTTTTGGTTTCATTTATTAGAAAAGATAGATATTTATAGATGTAATATAAGGATTAATTGGTTATTAAAAAAACCTCATACATTTGATATGGATATTTATTAGTTTTATAATCATTAAGACCTTTTGTGAGTATACCGAGGGTTTATATGCTAAAGATACTCATAAATTTTATTAAATCATACTTTTCTTTTCCATAGACATATAGAAAAATGAGTGTGAGTTCCAGTTGCTCCACGATCAAAATTATGAGGAATACGCCACTAATTTTCGAGAAACCAGTACCCATGATCCATTAGATCATGGTAGGAGCAATTTTAGGAGCGTTTTTTTCCCCGCTATGTTCGGTTTTAGGGTTTAAGGCTTGAGAATGCAGTTGACGGGGAGACCACAGATATGAAGAAAATTCTGTGAGAGCATCGACAAGCAAACCGCAGTGACGAAATCAGAGAGCAGTTCAATTGTATTGTGACAACATTTCACAGGTAATTCTTCTAATCATCATTTTCCCCCATTTCGTGAAGGAAACCCAAGATACAAGCACAAATTAGTGTGATAGTATCAAACTTTTTCAAGTTCTGTTCTTTCCTGTACATATAACAAATTGTAACTCCTCACTTTCAAGTTAGGGCTTTAGTATTTTGTTATAGGAAATATAACTGATAATTGGTATTTCGGTTCGACCCGAAAGACTTTAAAGATGGACTAGAATCTGCTGTTTGTTTATCAGAGCTCAATCAAGGAGAAAAAACTTGAATTCTACCAAAATGTAACCATGGATTTCATGTTGAATTCATTGATATGTGGTTTCATTCACTTGATTTGCAGAAACCCTGTTTCCGATCAGATTGAAATTTCAGTCGAGCATTTGCTTGAAATTCGTCAAACACAAGAAGAATTAATAGAAAATGGGGATTCACAAACTTTCCCAACAAATATCTTGTTTTGGGCGGATGAAACAGAAGTTAGCACGTTGACTTCTCAATTTGAAGAAGCCAAACAATCATCATCAAACACATATTTCAACTTCTGAACCATCTTCTCCTTAATATGTATTTCTGAAATTATGTTACTTGGTTTTGTAGGCATACAGTGGATCAACCACAAAGAAAAAAACAAGTGTGACACTGATAAGGGGAAACCCGAAAACAAAGTGGATTTGGAAATTGAATTTGATGAGCTAGGCCAAAATATCGGAGTGACCCAATCTCAGTTTAGCAATTATTGTGGAGTCATGGTAAGAATAAAGATTTCTATCCTCATATTGCGTTGGGATGAAGTTCCTAAGGCTGAAATCGATAAATTGTGGTTAAACATTAAGGTATTTGTGTGATCCTGTTAATTGTACTTTCATTTAATTCATACATTCATATATATATATATATATATATATATATATATATATATATATATATATATATATATATACATTTACTCTGAGGAGATTTTACGTCTGTTGAATAAATAATGGCTTGATATTAGTGTCATAACTTGGTTTCAAATGTAAGTACAAACAACAATGTTTAAATTATTTTCATTTATAGTATTTACATTTATAATGTATATTTTTTGGTTTGTAGCATGTTACATTCAATGCTTGAAACACGTGGTGGGAATAAAGTGAACAAATGTGCTTTTATTTCTCCGGTTGAGATTCAGGCAATGATATGCGAGTCAAATGGTGAGGGTGTTGTAAGTTACATTGTTGATGCAATGAGCTTCCATAAAGATAAATGGTTTTTTGTCGCACCCTATTGGCAAGGGTATTGAATCTTACTGCTTTCATTTTTATTGGCTTTATTTCTTTATTGTGTATACTAAAATGTATTAGCATTACTAGATTACATTGGATGCTGCTAGTAATCTGCCTTAACCAAGGCACATAGTATATCTTGGATTCCTAAAAAAATCCGGATGAGAAGCCCGTGGAGAACTACATAGTCGTGAAATATGTCGAAGAGTAAGAAATCTTTTTGAATTTCCGGCTGTTTTTCTTTCTATGGCTTTTTTTTTTCTAATCTTCATTTTAGGGCTGTGTTGCAAGGCTTAAGGAAGATATCGACACAGCACATCCAATGAATTGGACACTTGCCGAGGTAAAAGTACTTCATGGGTACCGTGAACCTGCTTCTTGTTAAATTTTTTTTAATAAAAACTGATACCTGGAACACGGAACCTGTTCCATCATCAGATAAAAACCCTAGGTTCAAAGTAAAAGTTCTCTAATCCTTTATTGTTCATATTTGTGATGCAACCAACAACCATCAGGTTGGGAGTGCGGCTTTTACGTCATGAGATGGATGTTTGAGTTCGTGTTGAGTCGACAAAATGAATTCCCAAACAAAGTAAGTATCTTAAATCTTTGTGCAATTTGTCTAATATAGAACAACTGGAACGATAAAAAATCGTTTCCGGATTGGGTGTTAGATGAAATCATCGTTATGTGGAGTTCAAGGTTTGAGAGTAAGTATTTGAGTCAAGTGCCCCTTTGAAAGGTTAATTATTCTTACCTAATTGTTTATTATAGCATTTTACTTTAATGTACTTGATTATTATAACATTGCACTTGCATTTCATTTTATACAACATTCTACCTAAAAAAACTCATGAAGACATTGTACTTTTAAAAATGAACCTAATGTAGCATCGTACTTTCAAATCTTTATCTTATTAGAACATTAAACTATGAAAAATACATATTTTAAAAAACACTTTGAATTTGGAGGATGTTGCTATTATGGGATATATGTCTCAATGTATAACAATAGGAAGAAATGGTAGTAGGATGTCTTAATAAACAAATAAATGAAACTATGTTGCTATTTCCTGCAATTAACTCAGTTTTTTCTTATCATGACAGTTATATGTTCCCTTTTTCCATTAGTTGTAACTTTTAGTTTCTTTTCTTCTCTTATGTGGCAGGTATGTGGCTGCAATTATGGAGTTTGACATCGGCCAGATGGATTTATTTGTCTTTTTGTATATTTAATTTTCTTTGATTAGGATGGACAAATTTGGTTTATTGCAAATTATGTTTGAATCGAATATTGTTAATTTTAGAAATTAATGACTAATCATATTTTTGTTTTGACTTTTATATACATTCTGATTGTTCATGAAATGTTTGTGTGTATAAATTATTTATAGGCATTTTTTTTTAGAAAAGTGTAATTATTGTATTTAATTTATGAAATATATTTATTTAGAATGTCCTTAGGCAATAAGAAACCGTACTTTACAATATTTTATAAGGAGTACGGTTACATTGAGAAAACAGTATTTTATGTGTTTCGTTAAAGAATAAGACTATTTTTAAAAAACCCTAAAACTATATTTTATAATGATTATAGAGTATTGGTTTTGCAACCGTATCGTATTATCTAAAAACCGTACTTTATGAAGATTGTAGAGTACGATTTTGCAACCTCACTGTATTATCTAGAAAACAGTACTATATGATGTTTATAGAGTACGATTTTACAACCGTATTGTATCACATGTTCGAATAGGAAACCCCGTTATAGAGTACGGCTGCAAAACCGTATTCTATGTTTCATTTTAACAGTATTCTATGTGTTATTTTGTAGTAGTGCGACCGAATACACCGACTACACTCGTCGTTATTTGCCGCCCACTGTAGATTGAAACCCGCCGTCAAAGCCGACCTCAGATCATCTGTTGTAGCATTGGTTGCTCCTAATAGAGCAGCTGAAGATTGATTCACCAGAACATTTATGTAATTTTGGCACTGCACGAAAAAACTGGCAATATTGGTGGCTATGAGATCGGTCCTATAGAAAAACTGTCACTATCGTCGCCATTCACAGTGCAAGTAAATCGGTAATTATTACCCAACCCCATCCCTTGTATAGTAGTACCACAATCGTAGTACGAAGACACATTCTGCTGGTTAAATTTATTGCCTTTGAATAGCGTCGAGTTGTAGGAGGTGTTGTATAGAGTTTGAGGGCAGAAGGTTGTCCACAGATCGTTTCTAGCGATGACGATTGTCTGTGTACTGCTATCCGTATCCAAAACTCGGTAGTTTACTGATTCGTAATTGAGTAGGGGAACATTCGATTGGCAGATTAGCTGAAAACCAGGGTGGCCGCAGTATGCCGGACGATCTAACCCCCAAAACGGGTACTTTAGTCGAAGCTCTCCACACTCAACCATTCAAAACAGAGATCATGGTGGTCGGGGTTAGAACTTAGAAGGTATGAGAGGAACCGATGAATAACGAATATTAAAGGATGAATGAGTTATGTTGATTGATGAAAAGAATGAATCAAAGCAGGAACAAGTAACAAGTCGTAATTGCTTAATTGTCAACTCTCGTGCACGGAATATAAATTTCAACGACCATGAAACTATGAAATAGTCAAATTAAACCGAAAGATAACCTTCATCTCTAAACTAACATTCTAAATATTTTAAGTTATCTTGATTTGGGGTATAAAGTGGCAACCTGCTTTATAATTATACTAGATATCAAATATGTGAACCTGTTTCTAGGTTTTCTTGAAGGCTTTGAGTCACACCCTTGAAAGACCAAACATGTGAAACTTAGGAAGAGAACCGAAATGGTTTTTGAAGAATAAATATGATTATAACTTAAATGATGAAAATGCCCTTTGTTGAACATTGTTGGTGGTATGAACGATTTGGTTTTGAAAATGAAACATGTTTAGGCCTGAGACAGACTTGAAAATGAATAAGGTACTTAAAGCCCAAAAGTATGGTAAGGGAAACATGTATCTAAATCCCAAAAGAGAAATTGCCGTATAGGTTAATATATGTAACCTCAATGTAAACAATAAATTTTACTTATCAACATATAAACTATTTAGATAATAATGTACAAGTGTCATCGAAATCGATATGACAAGCATGAACAGTGTCAAATAACTTGAAGTAGTGTCGTTGGTAAAAACATAAGCAATCTTTGTGTTGTCTGAATTCGTCACAACATTTATCGGTTGGTGGTATACTAGGATCGTGCAATGCAAGAAAACAATCTTCAGTATCAACAATGGTGCAATTTCCGATTTGTGGATATGCTTTGCCTGCTAGCATCGTGAGCATAACCATCACCGTAACTATTTTCTCAAAAGTCTTCATGATTATTTAAAATAGATCAATCTGAGAGAGAGAGATAAGTTTACGGAAATTTAACATTAAATATCTTATCAAATTAGTATGTATTTAAACAATGACCTCCTACGTTTTGATTTGTGAAAAAATAAATTAATTGGCAGTTACGCAATCATTAATTTCGGCCATTGATTGCCTTGTAACCTTCCTAATATTTATTTAGTTTCTTAATTGAAAATATGTGGCCCTTTTAGACAAAATTATATGTAAAGCTTAATATTTGTTTCGTGTAAAACATCTTCAACGAACAGCCTCCTTCAAAAGGTTGAAGGTTCATCGGTTCAAGTGTCATTTGGAACATATGAATAACTAGACGAATGTTTGTGTGTTGTGCATAAACACTTATATAGTTAAATTTTTTACAAATATATGGTTTTTTAAATATAACAATAACATTGTTGTTAAATTTAATATAATAATTCCTATACTAAATTGATATAATATATTAATCATTTGAATAAAATATATATATATATATATATCTTACTATATTATTATACAAACCTTATTATTTCTAAAAATAGATTAAGACGTCCAAAATATTAAACGCAATGTACAATACCTAATGCATTACATTTCTTATCGGTATCCTCGTACATTCTTTCCCAATCTGTCGTTATCTTATTTCAACTAGCCTTTATTTTTCATTTGAATTTGAATTCCCACTTAAAACTCAGTCAAACATGTGTGGATTACTAAAGCTATAAGTACAAGTTTCAAATGCATGATTAACTTGTATGTCAAACTCAAGTCAATAAAAAAATCGGGTGTAACATAGAATCTCCCTTCACGCTTGAGACCAAGTCATCAACTGAAACCCAAATCTCCCGATATCGATCACCTTTCCCTCTATCTCGGTTGGTAGATTTTGATAAACAAGATTTTGATCTTGAATCTGATCCAGCTCTTCTTCTTTTTTCTTGAATTTCTCCTTTCGATTTTTCAAGCAAAACAGTTCTTACATTCTATTAGCACACCTAACTATTCAATATTTATGCTGGAATTGGAGATATCGGTCATAGAAAGCACCCAGGAAGACCGAGAAATGTAGGGAGAGACTAGGCCAAGAGAAATCAAGAGGAGCTGTAAACTTTAAGCGGTGAGTCCATGGATTTATTTATCCCTTCTTAATCTAGGGTTTTTATTTGTTTTTATTGCGTGTTGCTGCATTTCTAATTGTTTTAATTTTTATCTCTATGATCATTTTACGTAGATTTTGTGCTTCTTATCCAGCTGCCCTTTAGTATGATTATTAATTGAATGATTCAGAAGGATTCACAACGCCAACATCAGGTAAAAGTGTGTCTCTCTAATCCAAATCGACCTACCGTGTCATCCCTCACTCTTTCTCTTTCCCTCTCTCGAATTTTTGCCCTTCATCTTATGTATTATTTTCTGTTATTAAGTATTTTACAGGTTTTGAATGTTTATTTATGATGCTGAATTTAAGAATAACCCAACATCCAACAAGAATAACGATTTGTTTGTTTGTTTACTCTTCATGTGATATAAAATTTAGCAGCAACCATGATTTTCATTTTTTTTCCTTATCTTAAAGGTATAGACATTCCCAAGTCCCTGGAGGAGGAGGGGAAGGAGGCTTAGAATTAGCGGGAGAGTTTTAGTGCTTGATTAGGTTTATTAGTCGGTATATGATTTCTTCACTTACTCCAAATTCTTCATCCCATCTCTAATTTCTCTATCTACAGGTTCGTTCCCTGTTTACAAGTCCGAAATCATGGTAGATGTATATGTTGTATGCAAACTAGGTGTTCAATTTGTGCAGATATCTGGTTCCAAGTTGAAGTTTTCGAAAATTGAGCCGTCACATCTAAGATTTTTGAATTATTCCAAGTAGGTTTTGTATCAAATTAAAGTTATTCTGTAAACATTCTCTAATTTTGCTATTTTTAACCATTTTGTTGTTTGATTTTTGAATCCCATGTATGTACGGTTTGAAGCCCTAAAATTTCACTCCCTCTTCTTCATTTTCAATTAAAGGTAAGTATAATCTCATTTTCTAGGTTTATTTAGATTTTTAAGAGACAATCCTTCGTTATGCTCTTCTTTATTACATAAATGTTTTGATTTTCAAGGGTTTATTTGCATAGAAAAATAGAATAGGAATATTCTTAACATATATATTGATGTTTGATGATTGTCATAATGAAAGTTTAGAGGCTGAACTTTTAATTTGGTATAAATATATTTTGTTTATCGAAATGATGATTGTGGAAGGAAATGATCTACAAATCCAGGTATATATTTATGTTTGTTGATTGTCATAAATAATTTTTAGAGGCTGAACTTTTAATTTCATAAAACCATTTAAAATTACCCATTTTAGCATAATCATTGAGATAACATGCATAATATTTTGTTGGTACATTACTTTGACGTTATAAATTACTTTGAATTAAATGCAAAAGTGAATTACATCCCATTAAATTGAAAAGTAGGAACATTTTTAACACTTTTTGGTCTTTTTTTTTTTGTTTCCTTGCAATGTTTTTGATGTGATTATAATTTTACAATTGCATGATTTCTATTTCATTCGGTATTTATTCGCTTAATTATGTTTATAGGTAAAAGTTTAATTTTAAATACAACAAAACTAAGAATTAAGTTGTTGCTTACATGAATCCTTTAAGAAGAGATGTTGATACCTTCCTGAAGAGAAATGAGGACCCTGGCTTGATCTACTCATACATAGATATGTGGTTGTGCCTGATATCTTCAACACATATTGTGCTAACTATTTCAACTAAAGATGAAAGCCTGAATTACACTACGGGGAGGATGGCTTCCGAGTATCTGTTTCAGAAAGATCCCTAAAAGAGGTTGAAATTGATTTTTAGATCAACCTGATAGACTTCTCTAATGTCAAAGGAAAGAGCTACAAATTTTATTTTTATTCAGTAAATTGTAGGGGATTCGTTTTAGATAACTTTCCAAAGAATTATAATTTGCTAATAATGTTGGGATTCCAGATTTGTTTACTCTTGCTACTGAGAGAAAACAAAAGGTACAAGCTTTACTTTATGGGGAAAATGTTAAGAAATACAAGTTAAATGCAAGAATGTATCAAATTTTTTTCATATAAGTTTTAGTTTAACCCTTTAAACATATGACAAGTTAAATGGAAAAATGACAAGAAATGTGCTTTGTTTGGTGTTGTGTGGTGTGGTTATTTGTAAGTGGTTGTCACTATGTATGTGTGTGAGTGACTAAGACAGACGGGTGTGGGCAACGCGGACATCGCGTTATCTGATGTGACACGCGCCTTTAACGGCGCCATAACACGGAACACCGCCCCAGGTAGCCGTTATGGGGCGTTATGCCATTAGCCGTGAGCATGGTAACGAATGGTAACGCCATTTTTTTGACCGTTGCAAATTTGGTTCCATTGAAAAACGGTAATATTACCGTTTAATAGGGTGAATTGTAAAAAAAAAAATTTACTACTTAAAAAATTAAACTATATCAATACATATACCTCATTTTTACACTTCTATTTCTCTATATCTATATCTATTTCTCTATATCTATCTCTATTTCATTCAAAACAAAAAAACCACTATGGATCAAAACCCGAATACCCTTCCTCCAAAGACAAACACATCCACTCCATTAGGTTTTGCGGGATATGAGGGATACATGAACCTTTTTAACACATTCGGTCCCATACGCCAAATAGTCACACAACCCCCACCCACGCAAGAAACCGTTGTCGAGACGCAAGCCGGGGGTAGTCAGAAAGCATCGGGAAAAAAAGGGAGACCAAAAAAGAAAGGGAAAGAGGTTATTGTCGGGACGGACGAAACGGAAGCACCTCCAACATGGTGGACACCGGAGGAAGAGCATGCGTTGGCAGTGGCTTGGTGCGGTACTTCAAAACAACCAACTATGGGGAACGATATGAAGAAAGTTGCTTTTTGGGATGCCGTAATCGTCAAATTCCGCACAATTTTGAACAAGGGTGACACATATCGCAATAATGATATGCTTAGTGGTAAATGGAC